CTTGGCCATGATAGATAAAGGCTCTTCCAGACAGTAACCCAACATACTACTGGAAACATGAACAGCAGACCCCAATTCTATCCAAAGGATAGGATGGAATGGATGGGAGTGCTGACAGCACAGTGGACAGTGGCAGGGATAGCAGAGTATGGAGCCTCTAGTGGGAGAGGAAGGCTGTCTACCTGACAAGTTTGTATTTATGCTCAGATGCGGAGGAGCTCAGAAGGTGGGCGTCTGTGACCAGTAATAGTCATGTATATAGAGATTAGAAATGCATGTGAAAACATCTCAATGTCAATAGCCTTGGAATGACTTTTTCAGTATGAAACTGTGTGTTCTGACAACGAAGTGGAGATCTTTTTTAAACGCTGGAACCTCATTTAATTTTATGTCTTATAGAGTTTATAATGAGTAAAAGATTATATAAGTGTAATAAATCATCTGTAAACCTAGAAATGTACACCCAATTTTGAAAGAGATGTACCCTAGCTCAGAAAAATGTTATTGAATAGGTTAATGCTATTGTAATGAAATGCTTCTTTTAATTAAAAAAAAAGTTATAAAGTCATGCTTAAATCAAATCTTTTGTTTAGTTCTTTGTTCTGTTTTCTGACACAAGTTCTTGCTGTGTAGCCCATGCTGGCCTTGTACTCTCACATCCTACCTCAGTCCTCTCAAGGGCTACCACTTAAGCCATCCTTCCACATGCCCCCCCCACAGAAGAATCAAGTCCCTCATCAGCATTGTCCCCCATGTTAAGCTTCGTCTGTTTTCCTTGATTTGAACAAATTAAGTTTTGATTTCATAGGTTTCATGACCCTCTTTCTGCTGAATGGGGAATGACTGGAAGAGGTCATTTTCACTGTGTGCAGTGAGGAATGTGCATGGGGCAGTTGGGAAGTCTGGGTGAGTGAGAATTTTAAACACATTTTTATTTGAAGTGATAATTGAGTCCCTCTTTTTCTTTTTCACACAGGGAGAAGTCTGCAGTGATTCCATTTTGGGTTTGGGGGACAGTGGCCTTGAGATACATATCACTTTTTGTATGGATGACAAGCTGTGTATAAGGGGAGGAAAAGACTGAGTTTTGTGGGGTTGATGGGTGGGGTTGTCTCATGTACCCAGGTTAGCCTCCAACTCACTGTGCAGTCTAGGATGACCCTGAACTCCTAATCTTCCTGCCTCCAATTCCTAAATGCAGGGATTACAGGCATGCACCATCATACCCAGTTTAGAAAAGCTTTTAGAAGGAATGTTATTAGATACTAGTTGTGCAGTTTTCTGGCAGAACATTTATTTGCCTGGCATATATGAAACCCCAGTTCAGCACCAAAAAAAAAAAAAAAATTAAAATGAAAGAAAATCATTAATGGACACTATTAACAATTACCATATTGATATCTGTTTTAGGACTAAGGATAAATAGAAATTACCCATGTGTGCTGAATAGTGTCAGTTGTCAGTCAACCTGGCACACTTGGGAGGAGAGAACCTCAATTAGGGAATTTCCTCTCTACGATTGGCCTGTGGGCATGTCTGTGAGGAGTGTTCTTGATTGTTGAGTGATGTGGGAGGGGACAGTCCAATGTGGGTGGTGCTACCTTTGGGAAGGTGGTCCTGAGTTGTGTAAGAAAGCAGTCTGAGCATGGGCCAAGGAAGCAAGCGAGTACGCATTACCCTACATGGTCTCCTACCTCCAGATTCCTGTCCTGCCTTGACTTCTTGCCCTGACTTCTCTCAGTAATGGGTTATGACATAAGAGTTGTAAGCTGAAATAAACCCTTTTCTCCCCAAGTTGCTTTTGGTCATGGTGTTTATCACAACAATAAAGAAGCAAACTAAGACACTATACTTTTAACTTCAATTTAGAAGCAAACCAAAAAAGTGAATAAAAAAATTAAGCCATATGGAAATGATAGGTACATATATGTACTTCTAAGCTGATGGGGAGAGAGAATAGCATGATTCAAAGAGATGAGTGAGGGAACTTCATCTCAAGAAGGCCACATTGGAGACCTAGGGTGGGCTCCAGGGACTGAAAACCTTTCAAACATTTTTGACTGTTAGTTTTGTGAAAAGGCCAGGACCACTAGAGACCACTCTGAGGTGAGAAAATAAGAAATTTATTGGGATGGATGAGCTGCCCAACTGCTCCCACGAGAGAAAGGGAACAGCGGTTTCTTGTCACAGCAGGCTGGATTTTATAGGATTTTTTTCTTTTGTGGGTAGGGGGCGGTGGGACTATAGCAGTAGGGGGTTGGGGGGTGAGTCAGTAGCAGGTGCCTGGTAGGGGGCAGTTTCAATTGGGTGTTTTTCAGTTTTTTGATTGGCTGCAATGGAAAATTGCTGTTATGATGAGGGTGCATTGTTAAACAAAGGTCAGTTGGTTATTGGTTTAGTTTCTGTTTCCCAAAATGCTGCTCATTGAGTTGTGATCACCATGTTGCTGGTCAGTAGTGACTCCATCTCGAGGCCCAGTTTGACCTAACACTGACAGTAGGAAACTTTGCCAGTGTCTTATCTGACTGCTGTTTTAAGGGGTGTTCATACTTTGGTAGAACAGAATGTTCCTCACACCTAACCAAACATCAAATTGTTTATATTTCATTCTAGAAAAGTTCTATAATGTTGACTGAATTTGTTCTAGACAGTTTTTTTCTAAAGATAGCATTGGCCTGATAAGGGGGAAAAGGCAAGATGTCCCCAGCCTTGCTCAATTGTGCCATCTTCTGGCTCTTATCATGCAATTCTTGAATGAAGTAGAAAGGAAACGGTTGGGAATATAGGGTTTGCGATTCCCTCTGCTTGGAATGCTCCCATCTCCCTTCTTCCAGTTCTCTGCTCAAACCTGACCTTCTTTCTGCTTACTTTTCTCTAAACTTTCATCCCTTTTCCTCCACCTAGACCTTAGCTTACTGTTCTTCATCTTAGTGTATGCTGTCTTTCACTACAGTACATCATGGCCCAAAATTGTTTGTTTTACAGTGTCTACAAGTATGCTTGCAAAATGTCAGGTGCCTAAAATACTTTCTGGGTGGATGACCTGTGCAATGAAGAGGAGTTAGTTTCTGAAGCACCCTGCCAGGCCTTCCCACAGCCTCCACTATAGACAAACAGCTCCTGTGCTGAAAACCACACCCTCCTTAGTGAGCCTGGCATCCTAGGGAGAGTCAGACTGGAGAACAGGCACAGACAATGCTGTGTGAAGAAACCTCTGCTCTGCTTTTCCAGGTACTTCAGAACTCTAGGCAAACTGAAGCAACACGGAAAGACTCCAAGCATTAGATGGTGACACATACTTCAGGTGCTGACTGGGAGGACACATCATAGGTGTGAAGAGCCTAGGCAAGGTTGGCAGTGCCATTCCACATCAATGGATTCACTGCAGAGCAGCTCCTGGTTGGCCAGTGCCAGTTCAGCATATATGGTCACCCATAGCAAACACCAGAGATTACCTCCTCCAGCATCTAGTGTCTAAGACTCTTTGTCAATATGCACCACTATGGCAGAGAATATAGGCCTCGGGTCAAGAAACGATCCCAATCCATGAAGAAGTCTCTTTCCATGCTGTCTTGAACATTTTTTATAACAAAAAGTGTATTTCTTAAAGGGATTTTGAGGTTTATTTCTGATGATAGGGGAGAAATAATTTTAGCTCTCTGTATAAAGGCCCATCAACCAGGGAGAATAGATAGGAGGGAGGAAAAGCAAAATGAACAAAAACTAGTTTCGTTCAATAGCAGCACATACTGGCAGTACTTGGGATTAAGAAACAGGTAGGATACAGTACTTGGAGAAACCCAGGATCTCTAGGTTGTCAGCTATGTCCTGACTTCCCAGTCTCTAATTGTTGCCTTTTTGAAGTGATAACTGAAAACATCACTGCTGAGCTTTCCTTAGTCTGCCTTTGTTCCCACAGCAAGCACCCCCAAAGCATCAGAGCATTGATGGTGGGCTGGAGTTAAGTAAAGCAGAGTCCCAGATAGTTTTGCCATTCTGAGTGGCTTTAAAACTATCTGTACTGGCATCTTCTAGAAGCCACTTAGGAAACTTAGGGGTCTGCTGCTCTGGAATCTGCATTTGAAAGGGAATCTAAGTGATGCGCTGCCTATTAGGTCAGGGTCAGCAAGAAACCAAGACCATTCTACCTCAAGTGGCAAGGGATGTGGATCCCTATCTTCTTCCCCCTCACACAAGTTGTTTATTAGTTCATTCCATTATAGTTCTTTATGGTGAGTGTGGCCTGAATGGTTGGTGCCCACTTCTTTTAGAGATTCAGTTCAGTTACAGGTACTTCTAAATTAATTGCTTGGAGGGGGAGTGGGAGCTGCAGGAGATTTTGTCTCCTTCATGGAACACAGCTGCCTACGTGGAACATTAAGTACCCTGCAAGAAGAGGTAGGGATTTCTACCTCCAGTGGAAACTGGCACTTCTAGTTTTTTTCCAACAATAGTCTTGGCTTGCACTGAAAACAGTATGAACCTGAAAACAAAGGAGGCCTGGATTTAACTGGGGCACCCTGGCTCCTTTCAGTAATCTTATGCTAGGTGTGAAGATCTGAGTGCTAGACTATGCAACCAGGAAACAGTAGTGACCACTGAAACTCCCAAAGGTGGCACCTGAGACAAAAACGCTTCTGTGAGTATGCTGAAGCTGATGTTTTGAAATTTTAATCATAAATAAGATATGTACATATGCACTGTAATCAAATGCAACTGAACAGGTTCTGTTTTGTTTAAAATCTGTCTCTGTCCAGGGTTAGGTATCCAAGGAATAGAACGGTGTAGTGTCAAGTTTTTCATTTTCTGGCTTCTGGAAGACAAACTCTTGAAAAACCTCAGCCCTTACACAGACATAAGTGATTTAAAAGACAAATACTACTTATATGTGAAGAAATGTAAATATGAGTTAAACCAGTTATTTCCCTTCATAAAAGTTACTAAAGCTAATGACTTTTACATGGCTTTAAGTTTAAGAGCTTCCTTCAAATACCCCAGACTTATGTTATTGGTCTCTTGAGTTTGCATGGAACTCAATCAGGAAAAACAAAACAAAACAAAAATAAAATTGATGGAAGATTCATCAGTGGTTTAGAATACTGTAGGTTCAAGGTGTTAAGTTGTTATTGAGTTTCTGTTTGTTGATTGCAGTTTTCTGATGTTGCTATTACTGCCCTTGCATGCAACTGGTTTCTGTCACTCCATAAGATCCAGTCCCTCTGGAGAGAAAAATGAAACTCTGTAAAAGAAAACTGAACCCAACCTCTACAGACATCCAGAGACCAGTTTGGCACCAAGAAAGGAAGCTGGTCCTCCAAACAGTTACAAGAAGATGTTCCAGTTGCATGTGCATGGCAACACACAAGTTCAAGGGTGGGTTATGCAGGATGAGTCCTTCCTCAGCCTCAGAGGCCCCACCGAGCTCAAGGGGTAGGTAAGCACTGTCTACAGGTCGGAGTCACAGGGCAGCGAGTTATGGCAGAGCCTGGTGCTGCGTGAGGAGGTGCCGCCTTGGGAGGTGGTCGCCTTCTCTCCCTCCCCTTCGAGCACATCCACCGGATTGGTGTAGGTCTTGGGCGGCGGCCGCGGCATGGGGAAGCCGACTTTGTGCTTGCTGGTGGCCGGGTGCTGGGCTGGAGGTGGCCGGTGTTGGCCCTCGCTGTAGTACTTGATGGCCGGCGTGAGCGCTGGCTCTGGCCAGTCCACGTAGACCGTGCTGATGCTGTTGCGGCGCGGGCCGGAGGGGGGAGCCTTGCGACAGCGGTGACAGCGCTCTTCGCACCAGGGCGCAAAGCTGAGTGCCAGGGAGAAGCCCCCCAACAGCAGCAGACAGCTGCCCAGGTAGCCCAGCACCAGGCTGTAGCTAACGTGCACCGTGACCGGGCTGGCCGGGGCGGGCAGGACGTCGCGGTCCTCCAGGAAGTGGTTGTACCAGGAGATGGGGACGAGGCTGAAGAGGCCGGCGGTGAAAAGCACCACGCCGGAGAAGGCGGCCAGCCCGAAGCGGGGCTCATCCTGCCAGCAGCGCACGCCCAGTGAAGCAAGAAGCAGCCCCAACGCGGTGGTGGCCAGCGACGTAATCATGAGTCCCCTCGCCACCTGCACCGGCTGGGTCTGGAAGTAGCCCCATGTGTCCGGCTGGCCGCACTCGCGCTCGCGGCTGCTCTGCTCCCGACACATATCCCACAGGCCCTGGTACAGCACCAAGTCCACCGGCTGGTCCAGGAAGCCCTTCACCAGCCGCCAGCCTGGGGCCAGCGTACTGATGAGGTTGAATAGCAGCCCACAGGGAGTGAGCACCATGCCGATCGTCATCACCACCGGCGTCCGCATCCTGGGCAGGCTCGCGGGTCTCGAGCACCTGCTGCCCGCTCTGCCGCGCACCCAGAGCCCGGGGTCCCCAAGTCAGCGCGGCAGTCAGGCGGGTGGCAGCGACGCGCACAGCGCTGTCTGGACGTTCTTTGTCTCCAGCACTGGACAGCCCGGCTGCGCCTCTAGCTCGGGGTCCCCTCCTCTCTCGGGTCCTGCCCGCCCCGCCCACCTGCCCGGCCGTTGTACCTAATCGAAACCAGCTCCGGGGCTGGTCAGACCGAAACCGCGTGCCCAGGTGCGGCCCCCGCGGGGGCCAAACCCTCCCCGGTGGGAGGGGCCTGGAGCGGCAGGAGCGGCGGGGAAACCTGGTGCGAGCAGACCTCGGACTCTAGGACCGAAACACCCCACCCCAGCCCGGCGATTCGGCCCAGCCCACCCGGTTGGTTTAGAAAATGAGCAAAGGTCGCCCCGCCCCGCCTCGCCGCACTCCTCCTCCTCAGCGCCCTGCGGGACTAGGGCGGGGAAGAAAGGGGCGGGCTGCTTGTGCCACCTCTCTGGTCCTGGTGCATAAGCACCTTCCCTGTTTCCCAGACCAGCTCAGTTTGGAAAGTTTTTCTCAGCATTCTGCCGTGCTCCCTGACGACACATTTCCCCTCCATTCCCAGCGGGTGTCGAGGGTTCCCTGGAAGTCTGCGCTGCCACTTGCCGCCACTCACCGCGCAGTGGGCGAAGATGCTCAGGGCAGGCGTGCACCAAAGGTCCCCTGTTTCGGTGTCCCCAAAGTTGCATTGAAACTGTTAACCAAACGGTGCTAAACTTTCTTAGTATAAAGGCTCCACTTCCGGATTAAGTTTGACACAGATGGCCCTAATCTAGAAAGCCATTCATTGGCGTTGGAAAGTTCTACAAATATGTATTGCAAAACAAACAAACAAACAAACAAACAAACAAAAAGCACAACTGTGCTACTGTATATAAATTTTGTTCAGAGAAATCAAAGGAATGGAATGAAATTGATTATTGCTTAGTGACTACAAGCCAGTTTTTTTTCATAGAAAAAGATAAACTTGTAATCAAATAAATATAACTAAATGGACCGTTTAAGCACAACTGCTACTGTATATAAATTTTGTTCAGAGAAATCAAAGGAATGGAATGAAATTGATTATTGCTTAGTGACTACAAGCCAGTTTTTTTTCATAGAAAAAGATAAACTTGTAATCAAATAAATATAACTAAATGGACCGTTTACTCTCAGAAATAAAAGCTTGATAGCCTCACTGGCAATGGTAAGAGAAAATGAGTGCTTTCTGATATATTGCTTTGAGTATAAAATAACTTGACAAAATGCAATGCTTACAATTTATGCTTACTTTTTAAAGAGTTCTTTAAGAATTTTTATTAGCCTATATTAACTATATACAATAACTTCATTATGGGATTTTCACATATATAACATGTATATAACATATTTTGATCACTGGATGCTAGGCATTTTGGCACTGGACTGTAAATTCATTTACACTCCTGTCTGCCTACATATGTGTTCTTTGCTTTCTCCTTTGAATTGCTCTTAACTCTGAACTATATTCCCCCCTTAAGTAATGAGTTACTTGGCACATATTCATTTCATATTTGGGTGAGAGTCATGCCTTTTACCTTAATTTTTAACAATATTTCCATGTATTTTCCATATTTTCTACAATGGAAATACATTTTATAATTTGTTAGAATCAAAATGAGTTACTAAAATCAGTTAATTTTTGGTTTGTAATAATGTTGAACATTCTATAGTAGATAATCCCAGGGCTGGGAAGTACTACCTTCGCGTTTTTTGAAAAAGTACATTTTTTTTAAAAAGTGAAGATGTTACTTTTAATTATGTATGCATGTGGGATTGTGCACATGTGGGGATTGTGGAGGTCAGAGGACAACTTCGTGGAGGTCAGAGGACAACTTCTTGGAGTAGAATCTCTCCTTACTCCATTATGTGGGTTCTGAGAATTGAACTCAGGCTCACCAAGCTCCTTTGACCACTCACGAACTTTGTTTTAAATGTATCTTCAGACAATTCTATTTCTTACTTTTTGAAGAATTTTAAATTTTAAAAAATTTATTACAAAGAACAAGATGAATATGTTGATATTTTTCTTTTTTTTAAACAAACTTTTTCATAAAGAATGGAGAGAGAGTTTTAAGCTTTGTGTGGTAGTGCATGTCTGTAATCTCAGCACTTGAGAGGCTGAGGTAGAAAGATTGTGACTTTGAGGCCAACCTGGGATATATAATGAGATCTTATTTAAAAATCGAGGTTTACTCTTAATGTTTATGTTGGATGTCTGTGGTTTACTTCAAGACACACTAGCATGAATAATGTGCCTGAGTGAGTGAGTGAGTGTGCTTTCATCTGAACTCTAGTGGGATTTGTCTGCTCAGATTACTAAACCTAATGTCTCATCTGGTGACTCTGACATGTAAAAAACTCTAACCACAATGCCATGCTCTAGGGGAAGTGTCAGCATGATGTGGCCATCTTTGCCTTCAATAAGAGCTCTGATAAGTAGCATAACACCTCTAAATAATGCTCTTTCACTAGAAGTGAAATAACTATCTTCCAGAATTTGTATATAGGCCAAAAATCCAACGAGACCTTACCTCTCTTACACACCAAGTCATCTCTCTATCCCTCAGTCTTTTCTTTTTGTAAGTTAATTATCTCAGGAATTTTGTTATTATGACAGAAAACTGAATAACCCAATTATGTAATTACATATGAAAACAAATGCACTGAAAGAATAGAAGTAAAAGTGAAAATAAGCAAGGATGTGCAAAGTTTTTTAAGCAAAACATGAAATATAGCAATTACTGAGAAAAAAATTAGATAAGCTGCAGTATATGAAAGTTAAAATTATTTTTATTTCAAAGTGCCTCAAACAAAATTAAAGGAAACATTTTAAGTTTATGCATCAGAAAAGAGGTCATTTCTCATCTATCTGATGACACCAAGAAAGCTTCACCACAGTGAACATGGACAGAGAATGTACTTACATAATCACAGGAGAGAAAAACCATCTAAGAAGCATGTGCAAAGTGAGAAGTCATGTGAACCTTTCTTCCCATAAATGCAGAACAAAAGAAGAGAAAACCATTTTTCTGTCTAAGTTAGAATAATGAAAGGGGGAGGATAGCAGCCTGGTTTGACTAGAATGAGAGAAAAATTCCTACTGGAAGTAGAGTGAACTGTGTGTTTCCTGCACAGGCACTGTGTGATTTGTTTTTAGTGCTCCACTGTGTGATTGCTCCTTGATTTCTGAATTAGCCATCTAGGCATTTGCTCAAAAGAAATAAACAGCTAATATGGAAAGATGTACTAGGGGAATACTCACGACAGCATGTTTTATTACAGTGTGAAATGGAAAAATTCTGGAAGTGGATATCCCAAATGTCAGCTTGGAATATCCTGGAGTGATAGGATTTACACCTGACTTGTTTCCTTTCCACTTCTGCATAATTCCTTTCCTGAAAGAAAACAATTATTTTAGAGATAAGTTTCTCCATCTATTTGATCCTGAGATAAAAGGCTCCCATTCTTATGAGAGACATTTTGCTCTTATAATTGTGCACATATAGTCTTTCGTGGCTACAATGTGGCCTAGTCAGACGTGGAAAGCAGAACAAAATTTTATTCTGATGTAATATCAGGTAATCAACAGAAATGCATGCACAATAAATGATGTGGACTTCTTCCAGGAAGGAAACAGGGGCCATTTCCTTTATTCTTAAGTATTTTTCTTTTGCATGCATGACATGGAAATATAGCAACAAACAGACAGCAATAGAAACACTCCACATGTGAATCAGTTACAAGCCTCAAAATTAATATTTTGTATTATGGTGAATTTCAGGAATATAGGCAAATGTTCTATAGGCTAGTAAGAATATAACTGTACATCCTGATTTGTCATTTTACCTTATTTTTAATATATATTAATATACACACACCAAAATCCCAGTCGAGCATGGTCTGCAGAGAAATAAGTATATTTCTCCTCTTCCTGGAACTCTGTATGTGCTTTCCTGTGGTTGTAAGCAGATATTACAGTTCTCTGAATGGCCTCGTGCTCTGTTTATAGTGTCATGCTCTGTGAATTCTGGGTATGTGTGAAAAATATGTTGAGCCTAGGAAGACAGGCTTGGCCACACATTTGACTGTGAAGTTTACATGGATTTAAGAGGAAATTTAGTCAGAAACAGAGAGCTTTACAGAAATTATTGACCCATCCAGTATTTTGGATAAAATAATAGTTAAGAAATTTAAGTTGCTGTTTGGACTGAATTTTCAGACTTCTGCTGATTCAGTGCTGCTTATTTCTGAGAAGACAGTATAGAACTATGCCAGAAAATTCTGTTCCTGTTTCTGTTGTTTTCAGTTATGCTCCTTCCAGATGGAAATGGGGTGAATTTTACAGAAACAACTACAAACTAGAAGTAGAGTCACAGACATCACCTATATGTGCTGACTCCAAAAATGATCATCTCCAGACCTTAGCAACTTCGTGCTGCATCACAATTGTTCACATCTCTAAGGTATAAAATGAATATTGCAAAATGGAGACATTTCTGAGCATGAGCTGTTGAGAAAGGTCATTTTCTCATCAGTTAAGTACTTAGTGCTGCCTCCACTGCCTAGAAGCAATTCTAAATTGGAACCTGTTAGACTTGCAAAACTTGTCAGTTGTTTGTGAAGCCTGATGCCATCGGGAAAACCTATCAGTTTTTCGATTCACTTGAATCAGTAGCAACACACAATATGAGTAACTGGCCAGGTACTTGGGTTCCTGATCCTGTTAGGCTCAGATAGACTAGGACAAACCCCAAATGCCCTAACCAGGAATTCCCTCCTCTCCTCTCCTCTCCTCTCCTCTCCTCTCCTCTCCTCTCC